ACCTTGTGTGCATTGCGAGTTTGGCAGCGATCAGTGAAGTTCGCTTCACTGTATTTCGCTATGCGATCATGGTGATGATGACGTGTTTGAGCATTCGGTCCGTAATTGTTAGTGTAATGATGGTCGCTGCATTTTGGTGTGGGAGCAGTCACAGGCTTTTTCCTTTGGGTTGGTAAAGTGGAAAGTTAGACGAAAGAATAAAATACCGTTGTTAGATGGGAGCCAACTTAGAGAGATATTTTGGGAACGATAGGTGGAATACCGTCTGGACCGTGAGGTTAGGGTGCGTATTGGGTGCGCGTTGCTCAGCAGATTTTCCTAGTGGCAATTTGAGGTGGAATAGGGTTGTCAGAGAAGTAGGCAGGAGGTGTAGTAAGTTAATTGGATTTTGTAGCAAACTGGAAGGCAAAAATCTCAGGTTTCTCGAATGGTTGACATACAAGATTATCAGAGGAATTACTGACGGGCAAGTTAGAAGGGTAGAAATTGTTTCGGCAAGTGACCAATTTCTCCGTTTATCAATGAGGGACGAGAGGAACGGCTTTACAGCGGAACAAGCGTTTTTTGGTTCTCTGGATGGTTGTCGATCATGTGTTCCTCTCTGGCACGAAGTTGGAAGTGTGTGCGGCGAACATCTGAGCGTTCCAGGCATATACCACGATCGCATGCATGAAAAGCATTCCGTGACTTGGGTTTGCCTGAGTATGGAAAGGCGCAGAATAAAAAGATGCATATTGTTAAGAACACTGTCGGTGAAGTTGGAAACAGATTTGGAGATGTCCGAAGAGAAACAACAATCTTTCCATGGGTAAGAAGCTGGGAAATCACGGAAATATACCCAGTTGTTTGATTTGGAGTGCCAGAATGTGTCTCGAGGTGTTTGGCAGATCGAGGCTGATACAATGATCCGATCGAACAAGGGGAGGGAGAGTACAAATATCTGAAAAGAGAGAAGAGACCGAAGTGAGCATTAGATTGAGAGTGCATGCACAGTCGCTAGCTTGATCAGGGACACGTGTGGGGAGGTCAATTAGTTGGCTCGGGTTGTTGACCAAAGCGAAATGTTCGGCTTTGTGCCCCGAAAAGTAGCAGGTGAATTTGTCAACCACTCCTGATTAGGTGCCGCGATACACAACCAGGAAGATGTGTGTTTCGTGCCCCTCTTTGTTGGTTTGTAATCAAGGCTTTTAGCCAGCTGCCAGTGGTTCACCGACTCAATTATAGCGCCGGATGTTGATTTTCCGTCCTCTCATTTTGGCGAGAAATGCCTCTGCCATGAAAAGACAGTTGGTAGAGCTTCCTCAGCAGGGGTTATTTGTGACGCTTCGTCCTATGGGAGCACTGTGCGTGGTGCAAGGGTGACCAGCCACCACCCAAGACACCAACCCCCGACCATGTTGAGGTTTTCGGAGGCGGGAACAGTTGAAACTATCGCTTTACGGGAATCGCTGTCTACACCGAGCTACTGGAGTCTGGTGAGGCAACCGAACAAGCGTTATCTACGTTAGATCCTGAGTTTAATTTAATCGTGATCACAATGAAGAATGTGCTTGACCTACACTGTTAATGTTGGGCCATGTGTTCCGTGTGTCGCCAGATAGATTTCCTCGCCCTTCCATATTTTCGTTCCAGGTAGTGGTTGGAAGAAAATCCAAGGCGTTAAATCTGATATGTGGGTATCGAAACTCTGATTAAGGCTTTCGATCGCAGTTCGTGTTAGGTTTCCCTTTGGTGACCCTACAGTCGGTCGAACACTAATTGGAGGCAGTAGCGCTGACGCATCTTGCTATTTTCTACTCTGATTCAGTTAATTTGTCTTCATAATCTTTATTTTGATATTGCTTCTAGTTTTCGGCTCTTCCGTGAACTCCTTTCTCATCGATTACGAAGCCAAACCCGTTGTGTGAGTGCGATGGTAGTGGTTGTCGAGATAAAAAACTAGGCCTTCGCATTATGGGTAAATGTTGGTCAGGATTATAAGGAGTTCCTTGTGTGTATCACCAAAAACAATCTAGGTGTCAAGGCGACGTAGATGGGCATCTACCGTGTCATTGGCTACTGTTGACCATGATTGTCTATTTGGTTTCCGTTTTTTGTAATCGCATTCTTAATCTGCCTTGTGTTAGCATTTAGGATATCCTCAGCAAGATAACGACCGATGCAATCAGTGTCCCTTTTACCCGGAGTTCTACTCAGTGATTGTGGTTGTTACATCATTCCTTGCTCTATAAACTGTTATTCTAGTCTGTTCAGATTGTTTCTCGGTAAAGCCATATTCTTAACTAGAAGTCATGCTTACTTGTTGCGTTTGTAATGTATACAAGTCTGTCTTTGATCACAAAATGATATTCACCTGATGTGCAGAGATAATTTTTCGTGGTTTATCATGTAGTTGCCAATGGAATCCTTACTATCCAATACGTTTTTCCTTTCAGACATTGTGGAATGAACGGTGATATTTCTCGTATTCCCATCCAATCTTTGGGTGCCGTAGTCAGTCTCACTGACATCCTTCCGGAGCTCCCCCTTCCTGCACCACTTCAGAGTGGTTCTGCTTCATGCACTCTCTTGTGTGATCCTCAGTTGTCTGCCGATGCTCACACCTGTCTTCAAAGTGCCACTAATCACCTTGCCCCGTATCTCTGTGATGCCCTGGAACGTGCTTGTACGGACTCTATGTAAGTTCTTTGGTGTTTTTTCATCCACCTACGTTGCAATATAGTGACTTCAAAGAAGGGTTTGCGAGTGATAGCATTGATCTCAATTCGGCACCAACTCTCTTGTCTTCTGTGCTCCTGAGCAAACATCAACTATTCCAAAACAAACGCGGTTTCTTCGGCCTTTCTTCGTTCTCTAATCAATCGTCCGGCACGGTTCAGTCCGGCACCATTGGTCGTCCAGTATTGAAAATTACCAATGAATCCTGGCATTCCGTTTCGGAATTAACCGCAAACTGTCGTTTGCCGTTGAGTGGTAAGGCTTCTATCCGGAGTTCTCCCGTATTTGGGTCTTCGTCATTGCATCCATTCTTGATTAGAATTTTTGTTCCATTATTAAATGTGTTTTGATTAAGGTGGACTCCGCATGCGCTTCAGTCAACTCTTTTGCATTTGTTTGTCAGACGTTACGTAAAGCATCGGAAAACCGCAACATCTTAAGTAAGCGGGCGTCACGGTTTGAATCAGTGCTGAGATGTTAGTGACTTCACTAAGCTTGAGCTGTGTTTGCTTAAACAATCAGAAGTGTATTTTTTAACGTCCACTTTGTTAACTCTATCATTCTCCTGTGTTCCAATGTTCGCGACCAACTGAAACGTCGATCTGTTGTTTGAATCCCATTCCCTTTTATCAGTATATTCATTTCTCCAATGTGTTTTCCTTTAACTGCTTACCACTCTCGTATAATTTAATGACATTTGAATGACACATCTGAGGCCTAATAGTTTATGGTTGTCACGGCGGTGACCAAGCGGTTAGGGTCATCCAAAACATCCACTCGAGGATTTTTTACTCATACCCCACAATCGCCGCCCATTTTATCTTTTCCCATAGACCGCCATTGTTTGAATGCGGCCCTCTTTACCAAAAAAAATGGTTGTACTGTTGCTCTCTTTAGTTCAACTTTCTTCCATAACAGCCGGTTTCACAAACATCTGGAGCCATAGCTACATGAAGCCAGATTCTGAGATACGGCTAACCACTTTTTGTTGCATTGGATTCCGTAGACATTTTTGAGTCTCAGATTACCCACATTGGATTTCGTAATTTCCTAGAATTTAGGCTGCATACATCTGCGTCATTGCCTAAAAGAAGCCTGAATGAAAGGCAGCACTAGTTTGACCACTCCGTCATCTGTTCGACTTCTTAAGTAGCCAAATCACCAAAGGCGGCGCTTGAATGTTGTGGCATGGGCGTTGCACTTCTTCGTAGGAGATTGGACTTTGATGATAGTTCCTAAACACCAACACTCCAGGATCACGCATTCGCGTACATCGGCACGCAGCAGCCAGGCTTCATAACCGTATGGAGTAACGAAATGCACGGAAGCCTGGGAAACCCGAGGTGTAGTCCCAAAGCTGATCTCGATTCCGCACTTTCTTAGATTGTCGTCGGTTCAAGTTTCTAATTCGTTTTTGGCTTGATTGTAAGTGTCCCCAAGAGGGAACTGTTTTAGTTGATTATTCGTTTGACGATGTAATATGCTCTGCGGCAGTGCGGATTTTGACCTAGGTCGGTCTCCGCAAGGTTCAGCACAAAATCATGTCAGGGAAACCCACTAGGCTTATCCCTCGACAGCTATCGCAATGCGACCTGTTCCCGTTGTATATTCAATAAATAAGCAAACGAAAAAACAACTACAAACAATAAGAGAGAAAAATCGTGTTGTTGTAATTCATCTATCTCATTTCGTTCCATAAGCGTTTGAAATTATCGATCTAGAATGTCTACTAGTTTAGCTGGTTGGTGTGGCATTGTCATCGTTTGTTTCAATAATTAACCGGTAAGCATCTCGAAGTTCAACGAATCTTCCGGTATTCTTTATTAAACATAAGGTAGGAACTTCTTCCCTGCGCTGTTCATTTTGTTCTTTGTATGTTTGAACCCGTTTGCTGTCTAACTTTCCTCCGCTTGTGGAAGTGTGCAATTGTTACTCCGACTGTTGAGTCATTTCTGCTTTGTGCATACTTTTCATCGTTCAGACGTTAACCACCAGGTATATGTTTTTTCTTATTCAGATGAACAAAGCCTGTCCCCGACAAAGCGAAAGAAGAAAAAGAAAAGAAAAAAGCACAAGCATCGAGATGGTGAAGGTGATACCAGTGAAACTGGTGGTGAATCGAGTGCAACAACTCCTGCCACATATGATGGCACGACACCGTCACGAAGGTTTGATGATAGTGGATTGTCACCCACCCCAACTTACGGTGTTGTCGCCGATACCAATAAGCTATCCTTAAAGATTTTTAAACGACCAGTTAACGAAACTGTTGCGCAACCTCTAAATGATTTGATGGTGGCGGAATTGCCTAAGAAAGAGAAAAAGAAGAAGCGCAACAAAGACAAGGATCGGGAGCACAAATCAAAACGTGATCGACGTCAAACTCCAACTTCTACGGAGGTTCCATCAACTACACTTGCCTCTGAATTACCGAATGGGTCTATCTCGTTGCCTACAGAGGTTCTAACAAACTCGGCAACTCCTGTATGTCCTTCGTCGCTCCCCTGTTCTGTAATTGATAACACACTACTGACAGGGACTGCAACGACCACCAGTTCAACAACAACTGTTCTTCCCAACACGTTTGACGCTTTATCCCATCCAACGAATACCGGTGTTCCTGCCGGCGACCTTTCATTTATGAGCAACGATAGCTTGTTCGATCATATCGGTTCAGCCCATCTTCCTTATCGCCAACCCCAGTCCCAGTCCACTTCCAGCCTACCTAGTACCCCGGCTTCGGCCGTGGGTGTAAGTCGATCGGCCAACACCAGCGCCTTCCCTCCTGTATCCTCTGCAACTTCTGTAGCAGATAATTCATTATCGAACAATCATCAAAATCGTGCTTTCACTTCACAACCAACCTTGTTCGATGGTCTCCTGAACGATCCCACTATGTCGTTCATTGATTCCACTGCCATTTCTAGTGCCGACTTACTTGCCGTCGCGTCCAGTTGTCCCCTTCCTACTTCCGCTGCAAACACAATGAGTATGTGCAACATCATGGATTTTGCGTCCCACTATTTGCAAAATGAAATGCTTTCTTCCACTTCTCCATGTGATAGTTTCCCTGTTGGCGAAGACCCAACTGCTGTTTCACGGGCAGCTGGAAATTTACAGCCCTCTCCGCATCCGTTCAACTCCTCTTTCATGATTGCTTCCCAGTTAAGTGACACCCTCTCTGTCCCTTCCGCTGGCGATCATGGGTTCAATATGCCAACCAACATGTTAAACGCTCCGGGTTATGATTCTTTGGCTGGCACTAGTCCGTCAACGGTCTTCGTAAATAACTTCGATATTGCTGCATTGTCCGAATCCATGGGGGCGCATCACGTCCCGATGGGATTAGCTTCCTATCTTTCTGGACCTGGTCAACCGCAAGCTGCTCAGGTGAATACTCAGACCCGAAAACCACCCTCGCGCACGGACTCCGGGCTGTCGGCGAACACGAGCACTCCTCAAGCGTGGTGGAAGCGGAAAGCTCCCGGTGCCATGCGCCGAAGTAAGTTTCCCAGATTTTCACTGTTTAATTGGTGAAATTTTTTCGTTAAAGCGTGCTTCGTAATAAGTCTTACTTCTAATGCTCGTGCTCAAAACGTTTTACATTAAAATTTCTTCAAACAGCAATCATACATTATTGTAAACAAAACGTGTTTGCTTACCGTTAGCACTGCTCCCAACAGGTGACGTGAATTCTGGATGGTTTATACCCTATCGTAATTCTGAAATTGATTACTTCTTGTCGAATGTGAAATATTTTTGTGTTTGCCATCATTTTGAAGCCTCTGTCTACAGAATCCGAGTAGTACCCTTGTTATAGTGGCTGTTCTTAGTTTTGACTTTCCATTGATCCTATCCTGTCAGCTGAACCATGCAATAGAGTTCTCTGTATAGGGAACCATGAAAGCAAAAATGTTTTCTTTGGTTACGTTTCTCGTTCCTTTGTAACAGAGCGGCGTCGGAAGAATGAAGTTGAGGATCTACAATCATGGACGGTGAAATACCCAACGGCCGCAGGTGCTGCCGCTGCGGCCAAGGATGCTGCCACTGAACGGGCCGCGGACGAGCGAACATGGGATGATGCCATTGGTAACTATAGTCAGGTGTTGGGCGAACGAGCCAAAAGAAGGAAACGCCTAGCCCGACAAACGGGTAATTTTGACCCGGCGTTCGTGTTTGAACACGACAAGGATTATCACAAGTAAGCTGGATTAATTTTTGACACTGTAACTGTTACATGGATTAGTTTGTTTATTTATCATCATTCATGAGGATTTTCGTTCTATCTTGACATGGGTGTATCTAGCCATTTTTCACTAGACAGCTCCTCTATGTAGTTCCTTGTTCCTCCTTATCAATGTAGTTCCGATAGTGTTCCTTTTTCTGAGTCGCAACCAAAAGTAATTACTTCTACGTTAGTTAACTAGAACGTTTCAACTATCGATTTGATTGCTAGTTCTTTTCGATCTTTCTCAGTGGCGGCGAAAGCGATACTGCTGCTGGAGATGAAGAGTCAAAGACAATTGACCTCACTCAAGATTCTGATGCTACAGGAGAGGTTTCTGTGGCTAATAGCTCCAGGGGCTTACGTTCGGGTGCAGCTCAGCGTTCCTATGCCGGTATGGATGACGAAGACGAAGGTCCCGGATCCGGTGGCGTCGTTGAGGGGAGCGGCCGTCGGCGGAAGAAGGCAGATGACGATGAACCCTTCGAAGGTGAGTAATTGTACATAAAAAATTTGTTTAGGTGGTCGTTTACCATTGTTTTACTTTCACTTATTATTGTTGCTGTTACTTGCTTTGTAGTTCGTTTGAAAGAGCCCGTTGAAGCTCGCTTCCCTCATCTAATAGGGAAGTCATCTGAAGTGACTCGTAAACGTCGCGAAAGAGTGGGATTCGGAACTCTATCAGCTGACGTTTCCAGTCATCGGACCCATGCCCCTCTCAGTGCTTCTGGTGAGGCCGGTAGTTTAAAGCGATTCCTCCAACGACTTCAGTCTATACTCGAGGCGATTGAAGACACGGATCTCTTGCAAGCTATTGAAGGCACCGGTGGTACACATGAAGAAGATATGCATGAGCAGGGCACGAGTGCTGATCGAGCATCGGTTGCGATGGCTATCGCGGACAACAGCATCCCATCGGAAGCATTTATTGCTGTGGAAGATTTGACGGATTTGTGCCGTGAAACTGCCAAATTGAATGCCACTCGAATAGCCAATCAGATCCCCATTGATCAGCTATTGAAGCTTCTTACATTGCTGTTGATCAACATACGCGACGGTTCTACTGTGATCGCTACACTTCGGCCGGTAAGTTGTACAGTGGTTCTTGTGCATACGTATTATGATACGCTCTCTCTCTCTCACACACACATACACAATTTGATATTTTATTGGATCCCAATTGATGCCTAATAAATGACAAGAAAGTAACTTGATGAACTATATATGCTTATCTTGCCAGCGCGAACAAGATGGTAAAATGGGTAGTTTATGATTAGCATGGCACTATTGGGAATTGGCCGGAAAGATTAAAATAACACGACAGGACACATGATTTAGCAACGCAACATTGTTGAATAATGGAGATACTTACTGGAGTAGACTGAACGCAACGCCCAGTTAATGCCGCTTACTCGGTTAATCGAGAGCAGAAAGCGCCGGTGCCTCGTGTACCGTTTATGCTTCGAATTAATGCGTGACTACTTACCACGGAGTTTAGGAAAAGGACCAGGAATATGTTGGATACGCTATGTGAACGCAAACCAAATAATAGGCAAATCTTTTAAGATACAGTCTAATTTATTCAGTCGAAAGTACTAACGCATTGCTTTCGGATCTGATGACGATGCGTACTGATCACTGACTTGTTTATATTCATTTTAGGGATATTTTAGCCTCAACAATGTGTGCTTTGTTCTAGTAAGGAAGTAAAATATAAACATGTGAAGAGATCGTAGAAATCCAAATGCTCGTCCTGGACCCGATTTTCAACGGTAACTGAGAAATACTATGATTTTAATTGCTCATTACTGTTCTATCTAGATAAACTATCAATCTGCACAGGAGTCCATGCTCTCACGGAATCTGACCAGCATGCAAGTGTCGGAAAGCACTGCACGGTCAGAGCCGAACAATCAACCGGGATTGACTCTTTAAACCGAAAATCATATTATTGACTCAAAAAATGTAGGATGGTTCTAATGGTTGTAGAAATAACACAGACCGGTAGAATAACACGCACAAAATAAAGGATATCACGGGGAAGCTTGGTAACAATATAGTCCTCACAACTACTGGAAGGATCAGACGGGATGATTTGCTATTACTTCAGGTTTCAGATCCTTAGATGCGTACACTAAAGTTTGAAAATGTTACATTTTGATGGGGACGTGTATATTTTCCTCTTGCTACAAACACAACCAGGGATTTGCGTCTGTTTGGAGCTAAGGGTCTTGTGTTGCATCAGATAAGTGACCTTACATTTCCCTTTATCCTCTCAGGACGAGGAAGCCGACGAACACGAAAGTAAGCTCTGGCGCGAGTTGGCAATGGAACGGGTTATGCGAAGTGTGAACGCCGGACTCACTGGTCTCCTACTTATGACTTCCAGTGATATGCCTCGGGAAGTCTATGTGGAGGATGTGATTGAGCGCACCGTGCACACTGTGCGGTTCCAGTTATTCAATTGTATCTTCCCTGAATTCGATCCGGCTTACAGAGTTGAAAATACAGCCAAAGGTTAGTGTCAAGTTAAACGCTAGCAGTTTGATGAAATTTGTTGGATTATGCTCTTATTTACTCGCGCGCGTTTACCGCCGATTATTCTTTGCGCTATACTGTTGACCTTTTTTCTCTTTTATCAAGAGCAGATTCCTCATGTTTGCACTATCGTCATGCAGTTAAGCGTATCATATCGAAGAGATCAGGTGGCCTTGGTGCTCCCGAAAAAATTATTTTATATACATCATGAATTCATCATGTAAATGAGGCGTGCGTTAAAACGCTAGGAAAACACTAAAGAGCAGTTTCGACCTGGTTAGATCAGTAGTACCAATCTATCGAACCAAGTGGGGATCGAACCCGGGACTTAACAGGTACAACGCAAGCACACTACCCTCAAATCCCCAAGGCGAATCTACACTGCGTAAACAGATGTTTGACATTGCGATTCTCATTTTGGTGCAGCGCCACCGATACCTGTTGTAGAAAAAATCATTTGTATGATTGAAATAAATGGGCTCATTCTGCATCGGCTTTTAGACATCACTCAAGAACACGAACCGAAGTGACACCTTTCTGTTAACAGATTACAACGACCTCAGATGATTTCAACATTCTTGATAGGCGTAGTCGGCTGGTGGTCTTTACTGTGTAGGTGATGCAAAATTTATTGTCAGCTTTTAACGCCTTCTTAATAAAAAGTTGGACACACGCTCATCACTTTAGTATGTCGTTATCGATGTCTATTCAGCCAAGCGTATCTTTTTTTCTTGTCCAGAAAACCAAAGCAGCATCAAATCTCGCCGAGCCCGTGAACGAGATGTCCACAAACCACGTGCCATTATCCACCTATACCACAAATTAGTTGAAATCGTATCAAATCTGGCCAAACTGGTAAAGATGCAACGTCTGACCGACAGTCTGGTTCTAGCACTGTCCAGTGTTGGAGTTTCTGTCTTCTTTGTGGAGAATGTCAGCGAGCTGCAGCTGGCTGCCCTGGAACTAGTCACAGCAATTTTCGCTCAGTATGAACCACATCGGAAGTTGATCATGGAAGAAATTCTGGCTAGCCTTGCTCGTTTACCTTCTAGCAAACGGAATTTACGAAGCTACCGGTGCGTTAGCTATTTTATTTTTGATTTACACGTAATATCGTGTTCCACATATTACCCATTTATATTTGGAATATTGCACTATATGTTTGCTACTCACGTGGTGGGCCTTTTCTCACCGACGCCCTTTGGACCCTATGGTCCGAGGTTCGAGTCCCACCATCGCCACCCAACTTTGGTGGTAGACAGCTTTGTTGTCGTGCGGTCCATTACCTCGTCCGACTCTGTGGGGCTTTATTTGGTTCGCCACTCCAAATCCTAGGGCTTAGGTTTCCGGTTTCCATCACCAAACAACAGGGTATTGGAGACTATAGGGTCTGCTGTTCATCACACAAGTGTGTAATAAAAAAAAATTGTGCGTGCTTTTACTTTTGCCAAACATGTACAGTGTAATGGTTAACAGCATTCCAAGTTTACGCTGCAGTTTGGTTTGCCACCTGTTAGCATCGAGATACACTCCGGTAGTTATTCGACACAAGAATACCCGTGATCATTTGCTAAAGCTGAGCACTCGATTCGCGGATGCTGACACGACCAACCACCCATGCACTGTGCTCACCTTGATATCACAGGCACAGTGTGCTTGTGGTCTTGGAGAGGGCTTTCACAATCATCACAAGGATATATGCACACGACTCACAGTTAGTTCAGGATAACCGCGCTACAGCTGCATACTACAACAGTGAAAACACACAAAGCCGTCCTCACACATCACCCGCTATTCGTATCGAATATCTTCCTGTCATTCTGCAATGTTGTGTTGGTAGTGTAACTCTGAGTTACTGGGCCTGTGTCTTCGGTCGTTCCCAGCTGTTGACTTTTTTAATACTTGTTTAATTCTGAAGCTCATGAAGTTTGATGGATATTACTAACCTGCTTTTTTTCAAATTTTAGTCTGAACACGGAGGACAGTATTCAAATGTTGACAGCACTAGCTTTGCTGCTGGTACAATCCGTAATCGTTTTACCGATGCCTTCCGATAATAATATCTCCCAACCGGATTCAAATGCTCCGCACAATGCGTCGACCACTGCGGATTCAACGGAAGGAAATTCTGAGACTCAGAAAGCCGATAACGAGGTGCTTGTAATCAACTCGTATCATAATGCACTGCGTACGGCACATACGTTTCTTCTTGTGTTTCTTCGAAAGTAAGTTAACCTATATAATACATGGTGGGCATTTGCCATTGAGTTGCAGTCTGTGGCTGTCTTCGTTTATATTGCACATGACACAGCGCCGAAGTGTAAGTCCCATGTAATGGATACAAGGTGGTAGTGGGCATTCCGATGGAGAAGAGCCTGTTAATTCTGCTTTTGAAAAGGTTAGCATTTTAAGGAAAATCCAGTTAGAGAATGTGCTTTTGACAATCTTGCAGTTCTTGGGAAAGAGATTGAGAGCCAGTATTTCACCATTTAAACCAATTCACAACCAGAAGCTTCTGCTGTGTTGATATGATGAACCTTTTTCCGTGGCGATCGAAGCAGTGAATGGGTAACGAAAGTTAGGGTATCACCGATAAAACCATATGGGATGAAATCAGTGTCAGCGGTCTTGTAGCGTGTTATATACAATCACGGTTGGTCCGAGACTGGAGATTCCATAAGTATGTGTCAGATCGTTCGATAGTTATTAGGGTCCCTCCTCGGAAAAAGTAAAATCTGGACTTCGGTCTAGCGACTTGGAAAAATCCCTAATGTAAAAATAACGAACTAGTTTGGGGTGTACCTTTTAAGCTGCTGGTGGAGAACGTAGTAGTCTGGTGATGAAGTAGGATATCCAAGATCAGTGACTGAGAGGAAAAAATTGGAAGCGAACCTAGAAGCAAGGTCTTCAGTCTTTTGGGTCTCAGAATTAAGAACATATTAAGGGTTTGCGCGAGGGAGAAAGGTAGCAGAACAAAAATAATCAGCATTTGTTCCGAGTCTGTTTGACACTCATGCGTTACTCGGAAATCTAAGCTATGTCAACAACTGAAATCCCTAGTTTTCTTTTTGGTCACACACGTGCAAGCTAAATTGGTTGTAGAATAGTCTGGAATGAAAAGGTGTATAATGATCAAAATAAAATCAGCATTGAATCAGTGAATTGAGATCCTGGTATACTGCAATAAAAGTAATCTTTGAACCCATCCAAAGAAAATTATAGCCTCTAAATGAACCGGTTACCGTCCCTCATGAAAACTTACCAACCATTCAGAAACGATAACCCCTCAAGAGGAAAACCTTGTTAATTTTCCCTTTTCCATTAATCTAGATCAACTATCAAGGGTGAAGATGATTACCGAGTGATCTTTGAGAACTTCGTCAACGACTTGTTGTTGGCTGTTAACAAACCGGAATGGCCAGCTGCTGAGGTCATGCTCAGTCTCCTAGGCAGCTTACTTGTGCAGCAGTTCAATAACAAGACGGTGGATCAAAGTGTCCGCGTGGCCAGTGTGGATTATTTGGGCACTGTAGCATCTACTCTCCGTCGTGACGCGGTCTCAAGTCAATTGAAGGAGAAAGACATTGATGCAGTCATCCGTGATCTACTTGAAAGCAGTCATTCAGACGAGGACGACGATGAGGATGATGAGGCCGAAGGTGACGAACACGAAGAAGAGCGGAAAGGGGAACCGAATGGTAATCAAAATCCACCTGTCGCCGATTCAGTACCAGAAGTGGACACGAAAGACGCACCAACAGATTCTGCCTCAATAAAACCAGAGGAGGGTTCGACAAAACAGGAAGAGAGCGAAGAGGGATCTGAGCAAGGTGCCTCAGTATCGAAATCCGGTAAAAAATCGAAGGCAGGTTCGCATGAGCAGAACGGTTTCGATGCCTCCAGTCCAGAAATAAAGAGTGGTTTCAAAGAACCCCAACCGAAAAGAACAACGAACAAAAAACCCAAAAAGAAACCAAACACAAATAACAAATCTGTTGATCCAATCACTCAGTTGGATCGTGTCCAGGCGCTACGGGATGCTATCTTGGATTACTTGGCTACTGAGGATTCAAGTCCTACAGCCATTGTAAGTTCCGGTAATCAATGACCATCTGGAGTCAATTAATTACATACCTAATATATCGTCCATTCCATTTCACTCCTAGATTGATCGCAGTCGTCCACGCAACATCATAATATTTCGCCCCTCTTTCATTCCTTCCACAGTATGCGCGGAAGTTTTACTTAGCTCAATGGCTGA